AGAGAGAGAGAGAGAGAGAGAGAGAGAGAGAGAGAGAGAGAAAGAGAAAGAGAGAGAGAAGGGAGAGAGAAAGAAAATGACGATGAGCCAATATACCCTCAAATCTCTTTGTTCCTTGCTTCCTCCTCCCCTTTAAGATTCATGTTGTGTCATTTATGTGGTCTCTCCTCATTCAGCATCAACTTAACATTTCTCTGCATTAAACCTCATTTACTTTTCTGCCCATTTTACCAGTCTGCCCAATGCTCCTCTGGCTTTTTAGGATAACATTCATTAGTTATTGCATTTCTGTACTTCCCCTGCAGCACAGAGGGAGAACTGCTTACCATTACTCCCCACTTTCTGTACCATAGCAAATTCATTGTCTGCTAAGCCACTGCTCCTTTGACACCATCGGTCTCCACTTTAGTACAAACATATCATGTGCTTCATTATGAAAAACCAATCCAAAGTCCATATATGTAGCATCGACCGCACTACAAATCCCCCCCCCACTTACTTCAAAGGACTCAATCATGTTGACCAAGCATGACTTTCCTTTAAACAAACGCATGCCAAATTTTATTTTAAATCAGAATTTTTTCCCCAGTGCCAATTTGCTTTGTCTCTGGCATCTTCTCCACAGCAGTGGCACCAGATTGGCTGGCCTGCAATTGGGTTAAACCCGCTCCCCTTCTTGAACAGGGGTACAAATATTTTGACCTCTGTGCCCTGATCCAAAGAGGACTGGTCAACTATGACCAGAATCTCTGCAATATCCACCATGATAAATTGAGAGCACTGTGAAAGCAGATCTGAAACAGGAACAGAAAGCACTGGAGAAGTTCAATTTACACTCCATCTTGCCTCAGCAATCTAGGGTGTACCCCACCTGACGTGCTTCTTCTGTGTGGAGCCCAGCTGGGATTTTAAGTACCTTCTCTTTATCCTAGCCACTTCTCTCCCTGCCTCTGCCTTGATCATGAAATCGGAAGCGTCCCCTTCTCTTCCAAAAGAACATTAAAACACCCCATTATCACCTCAGCTCTCCTCTCTGCCTCCATCAGCAGAAAAGGCACTTTCTCCAAATGCTGAAGTAGCTTTAGAGAGTAGAAAAGCCATGTCAAGGTAGGAAGCAACATGAGGAAACAAACACACTTCACATCAGTTTAATTAAAAATAATTTAAAAGAGTGGAGAGCGAGAGAAATGTTGGCGGGGGGGGGGGGGGGGGGAGAAAACAGGGGGGGGGGGGGGGGGGGGAGGGGGAGGGAGAGAGACGGGGGGGGGGGGAGCGAGAGAAAGGGTGAGAGTAGCAAGCCGGAGGAGCTAGCAAGAAAGGAACAAGAGAGAGGTGGAGGGAAGGGAGAAAGAGGAGTGACAGATAGTGACAGAGAGAGAGAGAGAGAGAGAGAGAGAGGGAGGGAGAGTGCCGATCGCCAAAGAACACAATAGGCAATTAAGATTTCAGCTTGGTCAACCTTGGTAGATTCCAGCGAGGAAATTAATCCTAACAGCAAGTGCGCAATGCCAAACTAGATAAAAGGATGTAGATTCTTAAAGTTAGGCTGAAGGAAGGCACAGTGCCAGGCCTAATAGATCCAGAGAGAGTCAGGAAAATTGCTGACTCCCTGGAGATTGTACTCGTTGAATCTCTGATGTGCCAAGTGTATACCAGGGGACTGGAGAGAGTCCAATTTCATATTTTGTATTTATTAAAGAAAAAGACTGCTAATTGCAGATTTGTGAACTTATTAATAGGAATGGTAGGAGAAAAAAAAATCAGATATTATGAAAGGGTGAAATTATAAAGTGCCCAGATAAAGAGAAAACGATAGGAAGTAAGGTGTGGGAGCATCAAAAGGGACAATAATTTTAGTGTGCACTGATCTTGAAGCAGAGCCAATAATACATTTAATTGAGGTACATAATTATGAACGTTACAAGAGATGAGCAGAGGCTGTTTCTGGCAGTTGGACAGTCAGTAGCCAGAGGGACACAGATCAAAGAGAAGCAGCAGAAAAGAACCAGAGCGAGGAGAGGAGAATTCATTTTTAGATGCAGCAAGTTGTTATAACCTGGAACCCACTGCCTGAAGGCACATCAGAAGCAGAATTAGTAGGAGTCTTCAAAAAGGGGGAAATCTGACAAATAGTGGAAGAGGCAGGGGGCTTGCAGGGTTGTGGGGAATGAATGCAGCTCTTTCAAGGAGCTTCCAAAATCCGCAATGGGCCAAACAGCCATTCCTCTCCACTGCAATATTCTGCAGTCATTCTAAGTAGTCAACCCAACCCTGCACTGCTCTTGTGAATTGCCATTTCAATCATCATCTCTGCTTCTGGCTTGCACACAGTCAAATTAAAATGATACAATATTCACCGTACTGGAGCTGGACAAACCAGCACCTTACAGTAAGTGGCTAAGCACAGTATTTTAGTGAGCACTTTATAATTACATTAGGTGAATAATATTTCACACCTTGTTTAAAATGCCAAATTTGGAGAATTATATGCTAACACACCCACAAAGAAGCTCAAGGAAGGTAAATCATATACAGCATTTCATACCAGTGCTTTCTGCTCTCGGTCAATGATGAGCTGCTCCATATACCACTCTGTGTTCTCCCGGTTAACTTCGTGAAGGGCTAAAGCCTCTCTCTGTAGCGCGGAGTGTAGAGCCTGCACATCTCTCTTCTCCAATGCCTCATCGACATACTCCAGAGCAGCGTGCACTGAGAGACAAAAATGCAAGCATCACAGGGAAGAACAGCAGAGGGGAGTCGAATGAAGCATTAACACATGTTGATATAAGACGACAGTCCTGGAGCTGACAGGCTTAGACTTAATTCACACATTCACATGAGCATTATGTTTTCAAATATAATGGTAATTACCAGCATCCTGGGGTTACCACTGACTGAAAACTGAATTGGACTCGCCATATAAATACTGTGACTACAAAAGCAGGATAGAAGTTAGGAATCTTCAGCGAATGACTCCCCAAAGCTTATCCACCATTGACAAGGCACAAGTCAGGAGTGTGATGGAACGCACCTGACTTGTCTGGATGGGTGCAGCTCCAACAACGCTTGAGAAGCTCAACACCATCCAGGACAAAGCAGCTGCTTAATCGGCACCACATTTACAAACATCCACTACCTCCACCACCAATGCTCAGCACCATCTACGAAATGCACTGCAGCGACTCACCAAGGCTCATTGGACAGCACCTTACTAACCCATGACCACTTTCAACTAAAGGACAAAGGTAGCAGATACATGGGAACAAAAGTACCGGCAAGGTCCCCTCCAAGCCACTTACCATCCTGACTTGGAAGTATATCACCATTCCTTCAGTGTCACTGGGTCAAGAACCTGGAATTCCCTCCCTAATGGCATTACAGGTGTCCCTACACCACACAAACTACAGCGGGTTAAGAAGGCATCTCACCACCACCACCTTCTCAAGGGCAACATGGGACTGGCAATAAATATAGGCCCAGCCGTCAACATCCGCATCCAATAAATGAACAAAAAGAAATGAAAAAGTAGATGGGATCTTTATGAGAATATTTTAGGATGAGAAAGGAAAACAAAAGGAGGAACTAAAGGGATAAAGGAACTCCTCTAAGGAAACAAGTTTCACCACTGCGGAATCCACCAAAGCACTTTACAGGCGATGAGGCACAACTTGACGTGCGCTCACTGCTCTGTGCTGCAGTAAGCACAGCAGCTGATTTGGGCATAACAAGATTCCACAATGTGATCACTGTCTACTGTTAAACATTGGGCAAGAGATAAATTACTGGCCGAGGACAAGGGGGTGGCTTGCGTGAAGGGCTATGGATAAATTATGACTTACTCCAAAGTTAGGATGAGTCAGCTTTCAAAGGAATAAGAGAAACAGTAGATCTGGAAAATACCACTGCAATCCATGGGGAGAGGGTGGATGTCCAAGACAGAGTGACCCGTACGTAGCACTCATTCTTTGACTTCTACTCCATTTGATGTCCGTCTCCCCTCAAGAGCCAACAGTCTACACCTTCAACTTTCAAAATCCTTGGTTATTTTATTAAGTCAGATATCTATTTCTTCTCTGAAAGCAAGACTGGTGTCCCACCTAATCCCACGGGATTCGGTGTGAGGAGTTGGCTTGAAACTGTCCCCCATTAACCCCCAAGACGAATTGCTTTTGTAAAATGAAGCAGGCTCGACCCTCACGTTAAGTCATCAAGCCAGAGAATACGTTCTTTAATACTCCACGCTTACCATTGACTTTATTAACATTGCCTTGAATCTCAGCTTGCGTCAAGAGTTCCTCATACACATCCTTGTACTCGGCGGGCTCTGATTTGCACTGCAGAATAAATAAACAGCTGAGTGACCTCAGGAAAGCACAGATTTCAGATCGACGTAGTAGCACAAGCTGAATTGAATGCACACGTGCACAAGAATTAAACATACCTCAGACAACAGAAGAGGGTGAAAATAAACACCGAGAAAGGACAAATGAATACCATAATAATTTGTCTAATTACCCATGCATCAGTACTAGATATTTGTTAATCAATGTGTTTAAAGAAGCTGTTATGACACACTCTAAAGTAAACTGCACAATTAATTTTGACTCCAATTTTTACATAGTTAGACAAAGCAGCCATTCTGTAACAGCTGAGTTGAACGAGTCTGGTTTTAGTTGGGAGGCCTGATGTAGTGTCCCTACCTTTAAGCCAGGAGGCCTTGGCTCAAGTTCCACCTGCTCCAGAGGTGTACTGTAAAATTGCTGAACAGGTTGATGAGAAAATATCTTGGGAGACTTGACTGGGAGGAGAAACTCAAGCTAAAGTTACTCCTTTTTTTTTTATAAAGGTAAAGAAGACATTATACTGCCAGACCACAGAACTGCTGTCTCGTTAGAAACAGACAACTGCTGGTGGGTGAACCAGAGGGTTACCATTCCTCAGGTGAGGGGAGAGATTGAGAAAGGGAATCTTTCATGATAACCTTCACCAGTGCAGGAATTGAACCCTTGCTTTGGTATCGTTCTGCAAAGCAAACCAGCTGTTCAGCCAACTGAGCTAACATACTATTTAAGGTGAGGGGGTAGAGAGGGGCAATTTTGTTTTTTTTTAAACAGAGTGTGGTGAGTGTGTCTGGAATGGGCTGCCAGAGGTAATGGCAGAAAACTTAAGAAACATTGATTGATTTATTTATTGTCACGTGTACTTAAGTACAGTGAAAAGCTTTGTTTACTAGTAGTACAGGCAGATCATTGTAAGCAAGGAACACACAGAGTATAGGGTGAAAAAAAAAATTTGGACAGAACCATACAGGTTATGCACAGGCTGTGAGCTAGACAAGATCAACATTAGCAAGATCAGCATTATTTGAAGTTAGACAATCCATTCATCAGTCTCATAAGCTGTTCTTGAACGTGATGGTGCATGTGTTCAAGCTTCCGTATTTTCTGCCTGACAGAAGAGGTTGTAGGAGAACATTACCGGGGTGGGATGGGTCTTTGATGATGTTGGCAGCCTTTCCACGGCAATGAAATGTGTAAATGGATGGAAGGTTGATATCCGTAATGGTCTGGGCTGTGCACACAACCTTCTGTAGTTTCTTCCAGTCCTGGGCAGATGGGATAGGTATAGAGAGATATGGACCAAAAGTAGGCAAATGGGACTAGATTAATTGTGAAAACTGGGTGGCATGGGCATGTCAGGCCAAAGGGCCTATCTCCATGCTGTAAACCTCTACGATGCTACGTTAAGATCAATAACATCGTCCTGACCACACAGGTTGACCAGCACCTCTGAAGGTGCAGCATTCCTTCAGTGATCAGGGGGGCAATGGTCTGGTGATATTGTTATTGGACAAGTCATCCAGACAATGTTTGGAGGACCTGCCATTGCAGTTGTTGGGACTCAAACTTGATTAAAATCTGGAATCAAGAGTCTAATGACATGGAGCGGCACGGTGGCTCAGTGGTTAGCACTGCTGCCTCACAGTGCCAGGGACCGGAGTTTGATCCCACCCTTGGAGGACTGTTTGTGTGGAGTTTACACGTTCTCCCCGTGTCTGCGTGGGTTTCCTCCGGGTGCTCTGGTTTCCTCCAGGTGCTCTGGTTTCCTCCCACAGTCCAAAGATGTGCAGGCTAGGTGAATTAGCCATGCTAAATTGCCCATAGTGTTCAGGGATGCGTAGATTAGGTGGGTTATAGGGGGAATGGGTCTGGGAGGATCGGTGTGGACTTGTTGGGCTGAAGGGCCTGTTTCCACACTGTAGGGATTCCATGATCTATGAAACAACAGTCGATTGTTGGAAAAATCCACCTGGTTCACTAATGCCCTTTAGGGAAGGAAATCTGCCGTCCTACCAGGTCTGGCCTGCATGTGACTCCATACCACAGCAATGCGGTTGACTCTTAACTGCCCCCTGGGCAACGAGGAATGAGCAATGCTAGCCTATCCAGCGATACCCATGTCCCAGGAATGAATAAAAAAATACAAATTAATGTTGTGAACCAAAATTTCATGTATGCGCAAAGGTAGCGAGTACAACTGGCTGATCTCAGTGAAATAAGTATTTTAGTACAATCAGTGCTGGGGAATATATTGCATAGGACTGGTGCAATAACAGCACACACCAGTCAGGGAGGGAGGGCTGGAGGACCTAGCTGGCTCAGATTTTGTCACTTTACCTTGTCGCCCTGTTACAGGAAGGATATTATTAAGCTAGATAGGGTTCAGAAGAGATTTACCAGAATGTTGCCGTGTATGGAAGGTTTGAGAGTTATAAAGAAAGGGCAGAATAAGCCGGTACTTTTTTCACTGGAGAGGAGAAGGTTGGGAGGTGACCTTATAGAGGTTTATAAAATCATGAGTAGTATAGATAGGGTAATGGTAAGTGTCTTTTCCCTAGAATGAGGGATTTCAAGATTGGGGGCACATAATTTTAAGGTGAGAGGAGAGAGATTTAAAAAAGGTCATGAGGGGCAATTTTTTTACATAGAGGGTGGTTCACGTGTGGAATGAACTTCATGACGAAGTGGTGAATGTGGGCACAGTTACAACATTTAAAAGACAATTAGACAAGTACATGAATGGGAAAGATTTGAAGGGATGTGGGTCAGGAGCAGGCACATGGAGCTAGTTTAGTTTGGGATTATGTTCAGCAGCATGGACTGAATCAAAAGGGTCTGTTTCCATGCTGTAAGACTCTGTGAAACACTTGCTCACATGATAGCAAGTTATGATGTGGAGATGTTTGTGTTGGACTAGGACAGGCAAAGTCAAGAGTCATAGGACACTAGGTTATAGCCCAACAGATTTATTTAAAATCACAAGCTTTCGAAGCACTGCTCCTTTATCATGCAAAGTGGACTTCACTTGGCGAAGGAGCAGCACTCCGAAAGTTTAAGATTTAAAATAAATCTGTTGGATTATAACTTCGAGTCAAATAACAAGTTACTCATCTAAATTTCGTGCCAGAGGGGAGTGTGGCAGCCGAAACAGAAACAATCTGCTGAGGAACAGGCTGCCCACTCTCCCCTGCAATTGAGTCACAAGAACAGCATGGGGAGAGGTGAAGTGAGGGCGGTGGGGTGGGGTCTCCCAACTTCCCTCTCCATTGGGAAACAGTGAGTGCAGACCCAAAAGACCACAGAAGGAAACAAAGACAAACATCCGGCAAGACTGCAAAGGTGATTCGAAAAGGATGGCTCACCGCATTCGCTCGGTTCCTGGCATTGGCAGCCTTCTCACTCTTGGCTTGGTGCAGCATTTCCTGGTAAACCAGGGCTAAGCCATCGACAAGGTTCACCAGCATGGCATTTGGATTGTGGAGCGCCACCATGGTCTGTGCTGCAAGCCCTCGGTCAATAGCGTCATTAATGGCGATCACCGCGGCATGCACTATGAGTGAAGACAAGCGAGAGAAGCGGGGAGAATGCAGTGAGCCTAGATTAAATCAAGAGGACGACCGAACCGCCTGGATCAGCTCACTGAAACACTAGAGACTGGGCTCACCAGCAGTCCCTCCAACACAGAGACCAGGTCAGCAGCATGATACTGACCCACAAAGACCGGACAGCTTGGCACAACATGGCCCTCCCGAGGGCTGCATCCAGTTTTAGTTAGTTAATGCTGGGCAGTACATCTGTCAGACCAAGTGCGGATTAAATGTCTCAGCGATGAGGAGGTATGGCTTCAGGGTTTGGGATTTGGTAAATAAATAAAAGACATGTATTAAGTGCCACCATTTGCTGCAACGTTCATGTATGTTAGATAGGAGTGAGAGGAAAAAAAAAATGGAAAAAGAGGGAGGGGGAGAGAGAGCAAGAGCACGATAGCACAACAGCGACGGGCGAGAGAGTGGGGGGGAAAGAGAGCACAAGAGCGAGTGCGAGAGAGTGACAGGTAAAGACCTGACTTAAAGATACACCAATTTGAGGATTATAGATGATGAGTGAAATAAGGATAGACAAGACCATGGAGCTGTAGTATGAGATTGAGGATTTTGTGTTTAAGGAACACAAGGAAAACCATTATCAATAGAAATCGACACATACGGGGTCAGGATTCGACATTCAATAGAATTACTATCACTAGATCACCTCCTCTCTATATCCTAGTGGTCCATTGACCAGAAACTGAATTGGACCGGCCTTATAACTAGAAACTCACCTTCTTATTCTCCAAAGCCTGTCCACCATCAACAAGGCACAAGTCAGAAATGTGAAGGAATACTCCCCACTTGTCTGGAATGCAGCTCCATCAACACTCAAGAAGATTGACACCATCCAGGTCAAAGCAGTTTTTTTCGATCTGCACCACATCCACCACCTTCACTCTCTCCACCAGCAATGCAATGACAACAGACCATCAACCTATCTACTATCTACAGAATGCACTTCAGTTGTTCACCTAGGGTTCTTCACCAGCACCTTCCAACTCTGGAACTTCTACCTCCGGCGGACAAGGGCAGCAGATACGAGAGAACACCACTCCCTGGAAGTTTCCCTTGGAGCCATACACCATCTTGACTTGGAAATATATTGGCCATTCCTTCTGTTTAGCTGGGTCAAAATCCTGGAACTTCCTCCCTAACAGCCCCGTACTGTTCCTGCACCACATGGACTGTGGTGTTTCACCACCAGGTTCATAAAGGCAATCACGAATGGACAATAGATACTCGGCCAGTCAGTGACGCCGATATCCCATGAAGGAATAAGAACACCTGTCCCTTCCTGAACCAGCTTCCTGACATCCTGAACTGCACTGTCCCCCAGCAGGAATGTAGACCTTCAGAAGAAGAAGGGGGAAAACCAACACCGAAATTTCAAGTAGGCTAACTTACAAACTCCTAAGGTGCGTGTATACTGTACAACTATCACCATGCTAGCTGCAATCAATGAGAACCCATGTATTATGTGCAGGCATCAGGGAATTAATGACACAAAGTAGGCGAAAGTGGTTCCAGTAATTTGCAACAAGCCACTGTTTAAAATAAATGTCAGACTCCAAGATCAATGACTGCCCCCAGGTTACGGACCTCTTACAGGCACTTCAATCGCTCTCAGGACTGGACTAATTTTAATTTGTGGGAACAATTTTGGTCAGTTACAACTTACAAGCTCAGAATGAACTCTCTCAAGGCCGTACTTCAAGTCCAATGGTGACACTTGAGTATAGTACTGCTTGGTGCTGGCGACAGTACTGTTTAAAGCCACTGTTCCACGATAATCCTAGCAGACTCTGCAGAGGTTTTGCTTTGGAGAGATATTCCATGCTGGGTGAAAAACTAGGAGTCGTGGACTCTGAAACAAGGATTCAGTGTCACCGCAACGTGGAAACGCTGGCTAGCGTGATAACCCTGTGCAAAACCGGCCTCTTAAAACCCACACAACCGGGACAGCAAGGCAGCAAGGAGCAAATGAAAGTTGACACTGACCCATGCGTAACATTTCATGACCAGAAAGATGCCACTGCTGTGCTTTTTAAAATAACCAACTAGTAAGAGATTTTGCAACAGAAAATTAGCATGGCAAGGGCTAACCACTGTCATACGTACACATTACATCACAGTAACAGAACATTTGATCTATGTAGTCTATGTTGGTAATCCACTGTACACTAGAGTAGAAAACAATGATAATCTGAGCCACTCACAAGATGCACTGCACCAAGCTCCTTCAATAGTACCTTCCAAATCTGCAATCTCCTGCCCCTAGAAGACAGCAGACACGTGGGAAGACCAAATTCCCCTCTGAGCCCCAAATAACATTCCAGATTGGAAACATATTGGCCATTCCTCTATCGTCTTGGAACTTCCTCCCTAAAGGCACCGAGGGTATTCCTACACAACACGGACCACAGCAGTTCAAGGTGGCTCACCACCAGCTTCTCAAAGGGTAGAGAGGGGTGGGTTATAAATACCGAATTCGCCAGGGACACCTACATCTGGTCCCTGCAAATCTGCCCAATGTCCAAATCTTACCTGTTGCTTCATCAATTGACAGCTCATTGGCCAGAATGCCACCAATCTTACTGAACGAAGGCATCTGTATCCCATATTTCTCCAGCTCGGTTTTCATGTTATTGATCTCCTCCTCTACAAGAGAAGAAGTGATTGGAGCTCAGCAAACCAAGACCAATTTCAATGCAGCTCCAACAGCTCACAAGAAATTTGACAATGGTGCTCCTTCTAATTGTCTTACCAGCTACGAGACTATAAGGCCCTTGCGCAGCTCTGACTTCCGGAATCCTGGAACCCCATTGCTAACCTAGCTCTGCATGTTACACCACATGGACTGTAGTGGTTCAGGAAGGCAGCTTCTCGAGGGGCAATTAGTGAGGGGCATTCCATGCTGCCCTTGGCCATAATCTGACAAAGAATTAAATAAACAACTTCGAGGGACTTCAGCAAGTCGTTCGACAAGGTTCTGCACAACGGACTGGTTGGCAAGGTTAGAGCACATGGACACAAAGTTGGCTTGAAGGTACAAGTCAGAGTGTGGTGGTGGGGGGTTGTTTTTCGGACTGGAGGCCCACACTAGCAATGTACCACAAGGATTGGTGCTGGATCCACTGCTTTTTGTCATTTATCTAAATGGTCTGGATGTGAACATAGGAGGAATGGTTAGTAAGTTTGCAGATGAAACCAAAATTGGAGGTGTAGTAGACAGTGAAGGTTACCCCAGAGTACAACGGGACCTTGATCAGATGGGCCAATGAGCCGAGGAGTGGCACACAGAGTTTAATTTAGATAGATGTGAGATGTTGCATTTTGGAAAGGCAAACCAGTGCAGGACTTATACACTTAATGGTAGGGTCCTGGGGAGTGTTGCTGAACAAAGGGACCTTGGAGTGTAGGTTCATAGTTCCTTGAAAGTGGAGTAGCAGGTAGACAGGGTAGTGAAGAAGGCATTTAGTACACTTGCTTTTATTGGTCAGTGCATTGAATATAGGAGTTGGGATGTCATGTTGCAGCTGTACAGGACATTGGTTAGGCCACTTTTGGAATACTGCGTTCAATTCTGGTCTCCCTGCTATAAGAAAGATGTTGTTAAACCTGAAAGGGTGCATAAAAGATTTACAAGGATGTTGCTTGAGTGCGAAGCTTCGAACTATATGCAGAGGCTGAATAGGCTGGGGCTATTTTCTCTGGAGTGTCTGAGGTTTGAGGGATGACCTTATAGAGGTTTATAAAATAATGAGAGGCATGAATAGAGTGAACAGCCTTTCTTTTCGCCAGGGTAGGGGGATCCAAAACTAGAGGGCATAGGGTTTAAGTGTGAGGGGAAGGATTTAAAAGGGACCTAAGGGGCAACTTTTTCACAGAGGATGATGCGTGTATGGAACGAGCTGCCAGAGGAAGTGAAGGAGGCTGGTACAATTACAACATTTAAAAGGCACCTGGTTGGCTACATGAATTGGAAGAGTTTAGAGGGATATGGGCCAAATGCTGTAAAATGGAACTAGATTAATTTAGGATATCTGGTCGGCATGGGCAAGTTGGATCAAAGGGTCTGTTTCCACGTGTACAAGACTATGACGATGAGTGGGATAAGAATAAGCCAATGTTACTGGTGTTCACTATCCACAATCCCTTGCTGATGTTGGTTAAGGGACATGTCCCCTTCCATGTCCTTCACTCACAAATTAGTTACCCGGCTCCCACGCGCTGCCTGAGCTATTGGGGCAAGATGCCCAGGGAACAAATGCCAAATCCCACTGACCTGGACTCAGGTGAAAGGTGGAAAGAATATGCATTTAAATAGAACCCCTTCTGGTTTCAAGACAGTCCCAAAGTACTTCATAGCCAATGAAGTACTTTTGAAAAATGGTTACAGCTGCAACGTGGCAGCCAATGTGAACACTGCAAACTCCCACGAACTGCTAGGAGACAAGTATCTGTGCTGTGGTCCATCAGGTTGACAAGTTGGTCAGACGTCAAAATAAAAGGCATTTCACTTCTAACAGCCTATTAGACGCCAGAAGAATAAACACACCAGTTCAGATAGGTAAACATCAGGTGTCAGAGCTACTCTAACCCCCATCTTACCTGTAAAATTCACCTTGCCATACAGGTCCTGTATTTGCGGAGCTAGGCCCAGTTTGAACAAGTAGAGGCTGAAAAAGGAAAGGAAAACTCAAATACCTACATGTCTGTGAAGCAAATGGGTCTGTACTCATTATGTGACATAGGACGACAAGGGGTCAAGCAGGACATTGCTCTTCGGGTCAGCAGAAGGAGGAAATTGGAAAGGAATCATTCCCTTTCAATCAACACAGTTTTCTGAATCAAGATCAGGACAAACCAATGCTCTGGTTAGTCAAGAACAACTTTCAGATTGTGAAAAGGAGTGGGATGGCTAAGCAGAACATATTTTGCGTTGGTTGTTGGAAGATTTCAACAAACTACTAAGAAAGAG